ATACATACCATGTATTTAATTAGTAGTGCATGTGTACAATTTAAAACTGTAGTCAATGCAGCATGTCTATTATTCTACTACCACTCAAGCATGCACAATGAACCATGTGATAAGTAACAAATTGTGGGTATGCATGCCATCCAAGTATGTATACTTCTTGTGACAGTCAATATCACTGATGTGGTCAAGAACAGCCATTTATTTCTAGGAACATGTATTGCTTGACAATGTTAGCTATAGTGTATGCCACAAGAATTAGACTTTCAGTTCATTTTCATTATACGTTAGCATCAGATCTCTTGTATTTTGGTTAAGTTATGAGTAATTTCACTTTCACAGAAAACATTGCTGAGAATAAAATAGACTATCTCAAAATATGTTGTCCTAAACAAGTATTGTGTTCACACTAAATTTTAATGAAAATGTATATATATAATGTGCAAATGTAAAATGACCGAAATAATTTTGAATACAGGAAAGATTGTCTACATGTAGATCACAGCCATACATTAGACTAGACCCAAAACTGAATTGTGAATACATATTTGCTACTGATACTAGAGTATAAATGTTGTTTCAAGCTTTAGATTAATATTATTACTAAATTATTATTATTATAGATTCCAACTTACTGAAGTAAAATAGAATATTATTGGGAGAGTGAATAAGCCCAGCACTATGACAAGAGTAGCAATAAAAGCAATGTTCTCAATCTTCTTTCTTAGATTTATGGCATTATTTTTCTTCATTTTTCTATTCCAGCAGCACATCTTTTCTGTAGCTGACACTTGCCTAGCTTCAAACACCAGGAAGTACAAATAGACTTAGCTAAACTAGTTGCAGGCCACACCTTCTTTTATTAACCATTTTTGTAAGCCATACAACAATTGTAAAGGCAAATTTTAAATTGCTCATTACTCAGCATTTCATTTCAGTCCTAAAGGAAGCTTATAATACTAAAAACAATCACATATTGCATACAGAAGTTAAAGGTCCAAATTATCAGCAGAAATTATAAGTCAAGTTATGCAGCAGAGTTCTTATTATTTGTACTTTTATTTGATTTTGATGATAACTCATTAGGAACACTTTCACAGGAAGTTACAAAAACTTTTCCACAATACAAAAAAAATTAAACACCTCTTTGTCAATTTTAGTGCTTTATTTCCAGCTCTTTTAACTGAGCTCCACTTAAGTATAAAGTTCAAAAAGCCCAGTGGGGTCAAACTCATTAGTATGTATGCAATAGCACTCATGTAAGGGTTATATATCTTTTCAAATGTTCCTCTGTCACACTTTCCAGGGATGTGACCAAATGCCTCACATTCAAAATATTGCATTAAAGCTGCTTCAAACTTGTCAGATTTTGCTTCTATATTGGTTAGATGCCCTACAGTAACAACACCAAAAATTAAAAAAACTGCAAAAACCAACAGGATTTTTTTCTCAGCAGTGCTTAGCTTAGTATGACTTTTTTTATTCGGCAAAAAATTTGTTTTCTATTAACAAAATTAAAATATTTATAAAATCAATAATTTAGTGTACATACATTTCTCATAGTCCAAAGAACTATAATCAGCATTATAACTCCAGCAGCAAATAGTACATCCATTGGAAGTGTCATAGAATAGAACCACATGTCACCATTGCTGATGCAAAGGGTTGTTGGGAAACGATAAATATTATATTTGAATTTGTTAACAGAAAGGCAAATGATAATAGCTGGTAATGGAAGTAGTAGAGCTTTATATAGGAAATGGATTATTTTAAAAGTAATAAATGCAATAAAACTCACATAAAATAGTTACAATTGCAAATATGTACTTGTTATGTCCCAGCTTTTCAAATCTATTTGCTTGGAAGGGAAACAATACTTTGTGAAAAAATATAGCAACATGAAAGAACCACCACAGTGCCATATTTACAGAAGTATAATGAAATACAACTCCTACATAAAAATGAACTTTTATAAGTTGTTAAATTTTTACCTGAAAATTTGCAAAAAAGAGTTGGATTATTTAATGTTTCCAATAGACTAACTGAACCACAATATAATTTATACCGATAAATAGCTGTTATGAGTGCTACTATACCTATAAATGGATGTATACAATGAACATAAGATTACAATGCACTTTACCCAATACAATCGTGTCTATGATTTGAAAAAGCACCAATACAGAGGGATATGCTAGCCTATGATGATACAGTGATTTATTGTTGTGTTTTGTGATAGATTGTATAGTCACTAACAATATCTTATATTCCTTTACAGCAACAATAATGGTAACAATGCAGAGTGTTAGGATTATACTGATTGCAACAACTTCTGAATATATCAGTATTTGTGAGTCTAAATGAGAGCTTTGTTCAAAACTGTCACATCTTGGCTCACACATTAAATCTGTTTTAACAAAATCTTCTCTGCACATTATACCTTCAGTACCATTGGTATCATTCATGCCTTCAATTGGAATTGTGACAGAAGATGAGTCATTGACAGCTATATAAAGTATAAATTATTAGTAATATACGATTATTATCATACCATTTGGTAGTGTAGAACAATCAGGTAAGAGTGAGCCATAGCTAAAGTTGTTTGCTAGTGTCCACAGGTCTGAACAAACACCTGTACTTATGAGGAGGCAGTCTTCCTTGGTAGCCTTGTAAGATTTTCCAGTTGAGCAATCAGCAAGAGGAAAGAAATATTGACATATAAAAGCTGATGATTGTTGTTGACATTGCTTGTAGAATTCTGTAAAGATAACATTAAAATCAAAAAATTACCAACACCATTACCAAAATAAGTACTGAGTGATGTCATCGTTTGTTCGTGTTGATTTTGTTCTTGTTGACTTACTCCAATATTCAATTCACCTTCTCCAATGGTACATTGAAACCATTGATGTAAGAAGTTTCTACAAGCAGTTCCAGTATACTCATGACATTCTGAAGCATCATTATCCTGACTCCATGATAGTCTGGTGCAGTTTTGGCTTATTCCAGTAATATTGCTATGAAATCCAGTGTAATTGATGCTGGCATTGTTAAAGGTTTCTGTATCATGACTCTTTACAAAAATTAACAGTTATGTAATTGGCCATCCATTTAAATAAATGGTGGATTTAATATTATAGTTAATTTTTAATATTTAGATCTATTGCTAAGATGGTTCTTTTGAAGCTATTGCCATGCATAAATCTTACTATGCATACCACAAACTACTTTTATGGCTCAGTTGCCAAATCAAAATAAACATGTTTGGTTTGCTCAGTTGGTTTAGTTTACTTCATGTATGAGGTCAGTAGTGTGTAGCTACATCTATATTTACTACCAAAAAAATCTGCATGCACAATGAGCCAAATAACAAGAATTGAGGCTAGATATTCATGTCATTGTCATCCCAGTATGCTTGTGACTAGGAGTACCTTTGAATTGCAAGAAAACCTATTTATTTCAGGCAAAATATGTAGCTATAGACAGCAATCTCAGTGTCAGAAAAAAACATTGCTGACAATACAAATATGTATTGTAGTATTTTGAAAATGTAGATTCAAAATCTAGATCATTTTGAATGCACAAAGTTGAATGTAGACACCCATGACCCATATTAGATCCAGATCTATTTTTACCCAAAGTTATAATTATCTATTGCATATAGATCTAGATCTAAGTTAATAATAATTTTTATTTGCTACATATTAAAATGTTATTATTAACTTACTGAAATAAAATAGAATATTATTGGGAGAGTGAATAAGCCCAGCACTATGACAAGAGTAGCAATAAAAGCAATGTTCTCAATCTTTTTTCCTATAACAAAATTTTTCTTCATTTTTCTATTCCAGCAGCACACCTTTTCTGTAGCTGACACTTGCCTAGCTTCAAACACCATCAGGAAGTACAAATGGTCATCTGCTTGCATGCAGGATACACCTTCTTTTATTAATAGTAGACTGAAATATTTAGGGTTATGTCATATAGCACAAGGACATTAATGTATGATTAATAATAATATAATTAATAATGTTGTGTTAACAATTTTTGTATAGGCAAATTTTAAAAGTGCTCATTACTCAGCATTTCATTTCAGTAGAACTAAAGAAGTTTTAATATTAAAAAAAATCTCACATTGCACACAGAAGTTTAAGGTCCAAATTATTAGTGGACAATAAAAGTCAAGTTATATAGCAGGGTTTGTAATTTTATTTGATTTTGATGATAATTCATCAGGAACACTTTCAGAGGAAGTTACAAAAGCTTTTTCACAATACAAGAAACTTAAACACCTCTTCATCAATTTTACTGCTTTATCTTCAGCACTTTTAACTGAGCTCCACTTAAGTATGAAGTTCAAAACGCTCAACGGTATCAAACTCATTAGTATGTATGCAGTGGCACTCATGTAAGGGCTATAGATCTTTTCAAATGTTCCTCTGTCACACTTTCCAGGGATGTGACCAAATGCCTCACATTCAAAAAATTCTTCTAAAGCTGCTTTAAACTTGGCATATTTTGCTAATATGTTGATATGGTGCCCTACAGTAAAAACACCAAAAATTAAAAAATTGTAAAAACCAGTAGGATTTTTTTCTCAGCAGTGCTTAGCTTAGTATGACTACTTTTCTTCAAGAAATTTGTTTTCTATAAAGAAATTAAAGTATTATAAAATCAATATTTTAGTTTTAGTGTACATACATTTCTCATAGTCCAAAGAACTATAATCAGCATTATAACTCCAGCAGCAAATAGTACATCCATTGGAAGTGTTATAGAATAGAACCACATGTCACCATCACTGATGCAAAGAGTGTTTGGGAAACGATGAATATTATATTTGAATTTGTCAACAGTAAGGCTAATGATAACAGCTGGTAATGGAAGTAGTATAGCTTTAATAGGGAAATGAATTAATTTAAAATTAATAAATGCAATAAAACTCACACAAAATGGTTACAGTTGCAAATATGTACTTGTTACGTCCCAGCTTTTCAAATCTATTTGCTTGGAAGGGAAACAATACTTTGTGAAAGAATATAGCAACATGAAAGAACCACGACAGGGCCATATTTACAAAAGTATAATGAAATGCAGCTCCTATGCATTGAAAATAAAAGTTTTAGATAAGCGCGGGTAAATCTTTACCTGAAAATTTGCAAAAAGGAGTTGGATGTTTTAATGTCTCCAATAGACTAACTGAACTGCAATATAATCCATACCGATCAATAGCTGTTATGATTAGTACTATAACTGCATATGGTGTATACAATGAACATAAGATTACAATGCAGTTTACCCAATACAGTGATGTCTATGACTTGAAAAAGTACCAATACAGAAGGATATGCTAGCCTATAATGATACAGTGATATAATGTTGTCACTTGTGATGGATTGTATAGTCACTAACAATATCTTATATTCCTTTACAGCAACAATAATTGCAACAATGCAGAAAATTAGGGCTATACTGGTTGCAACAACTTCCGAATAGATCAGTATTTGTGAATTTAAATGAGAAGTTTCTTCAAAACTGTCACATCTTGGCTCACACATTAAATCTATTTTAACAAAATCTTCTCTACACACTATACCATCAGTACCATTGGTACCATTCATGCCTTCAATTGGAATTGTGACAGAAGATGAGTCATTGGCAGCTGGAGGAAGTATAAATTATTAGTAATATAAGATTACTATTATACCATTTTGTAGTGTAGAACAATCAGGTAGAAGTGAGCCATAGCTGAAGTTGCTTGCTAGTGTCCACAGGTCTGAACAAACACCTGTACTTATGAGGAGGCAGTCTTCCTTTGTGGCCTTATAAAATTTTCTAGTTGAGCAATCAGCAAGTGGAAAGAAATATTGACATATAAAAGCTGATGATTGTTGTTGGCATTGCTTGTAGAATTCTGTAACAATAACATTAAAATCAAAAATTAATCAGCACTGACCATTACCTAAATAAGTATTGAGTGATGTGATTGTCTGTTCATGTTGATTTTGTTCTTGTTGACTTACTCCAATATTCAATTCACCTTCTCCAATGGTACATTGAAACCATTGATGTAAGAAGTTTTTACAAGCAGTTCCAGTATACTCATGACATTCTGAGGCATCATTATCCTGACTCCATGATAGTCTGGTGCAGTTTTGGTTTATTCCATTGATATTGCTATGCAATCCAGTGTAATTGATGCTGGCATTGTTAAAGGTGTCCGTGTGGTACCTCTTTACAAAAATTTACAGTTATGTAACTGGCCATCCTTTTGAATTGATGGTGAATTTAATATTATAGTTACTTTTAATAGTTTGATTTATATTGCTAAGTTGTTTATTTTGAACTAAGCTATTGCCAAAATTTTACTATGGATAAATCTTAGTCAGGCAGGCCATAGATTACTCACATGGCTCAGTTGCCAAACCAAAATAAACATGTTTGGTTGGTACATTTTGTTCATCTTATTGTAGGTGTACAATGTAACTACCAAAACATTCTGCATGCACAATGAAGCCATAATGACAAATTGTGGCTAGTCATTGTCATTCCAGTATGCTTGTGACTGAAGTACCTTTAAAACGCAAGAAAACCTATTTATTTCAGGCAAGTTATGTAGCTAGAAAGCAATTTCACTGTTAGAAAAAACATTGCTAACAATACAAAATGTATTGTGTATTTTGGGAGTTCAAGATCTTGATCATTTTAAATACACAAAGATAACACCCATGACCCATATTAGATCCAGACTCTATTTTTACCCAAAACTATATTATCTATTGCATATAAGTTAATAATAATTTTTATTTGCTACATTTTAAAATGTTAGATATTATTAACTTACTGAAATAAAATAGAATATTATTGGGAGAGTGAATAAGCCCAGCACTATGACAAGAGTAGCAATAAAAGCAACATTCTCAATCTTCTTTCCTATAGCAAAACTTTTTTCTTTATTTCTTTTCCAGCAGCACATCTTTTCTATAGCTGACACTTGCCTAGCTTCACCAGGAAGTACATACAGTCATCTGTGTACATGCATGCAAGGCACGCCTTCTTTTATTAATATATCTAGACTGATTAATTTAGGCTTATGTCATATAGCACAAGGACATTGTAGATTTATCATAAAATTTAGTAATTGATACTTTTATTGTATAACGATTTTATAAAAGCACAAGGACGATGAGGTGTATAATTAATAATATTGTGTAACTATTTTCATGTAAACGATAGCTATACAGTAATTGTGAAGGCAATTTTTAAAGAAGTGGCTAGAGCTCCGGTAACCGGACACAGTATGCAGTGCTAGAGCTCCGGTAATAGGGGCTTTGCCCCTATATATATACTGGGGCTACGCCCCAGCATTAATAATACACTGATTTATATTATAGAAACCGAGTATAAATACAACAACCAGCGTTGATGATGCAGTAGGGTCGTGGTGGTGCAGTGGAGAGGCTGGTGTGGATTGCATGGATATGGTCAGGGGTTCGAATCCGGTCAGGACTACCGAGTAAAACTATGCTGCAGTTTTTGATTTTTTTTTCTTTTTAAAAATATCTTTTTTGCAATTTTTTTCTTTTTGGCTTTTTTTTGGGTCAAGAAATAGCACCCTCTCGTACATCTTAGCCTCCGGGGTCGTAGGGTTGGGATTGGGGTTTAGTTTTTAGAGCACCCTCTCGTACATCTTAGCCTCCGGGGTCTTAGGGTTTTGGGATTGGGGTTTAGTGTTTAGTTTTTAGAGCACCCTCTCGTACATCTTAGCCTCCGGGGTCGTAGGGTTTTGGGATTGGGGTTTAGTGTTTAGTTTTTAGAGCACCCTCTCGTACATCTTAGCCTCCGGGATCGTAGGGTTTTGGGGTTAGGGTTTAGTGTTTCTTGATAAAAAGACTAAGTTCCATTTTGCACTATTGCGCATGCGCACAAGCTGTTTTACGGAGAAAAACGGACTGCCGGAGCTCTAGCATTGCAAACTACGTCCGGTTACCGGAGCTGTAGACACAGCCATTTTTAAAAGTGCTCATTACTCAGAATTTCATTTTAGTACTATAAGGAAGTTTTTAATACTAAAAAAACAGGTATAAAAAGCAAGCACATATAGATCTTAGACTAGGCACACAGAAGTTAAAGGTCCAAATTATTAGCATTTACTTGACAATTTTAACCTAGTACCTAGTGTATGCCACAAGCATTAGACTTTTAGTTCATTGTCATTATACATTAGCATCAGATCTCTTGTATTTTGGTTAAGTTATGAGTAATTTCATTTTCACAGAAAACATTGCTGAGAATAAAATAGACTATCTCGAAATATGTTATCCTAAACAAGTATTGTGTTCACATTTACAGAAAATGCATATAATGTGCAAATGTAAAATGACCAAAATAATTTTGAATACAGGAAAGATTGTCTACATGTAGATCACAGCCATACATTACTAATGACTAGACCCAAAACTGAATTATGAATACATATTTGCTACTGATACTAGAGTATAAATGTTGCTTCAAGCTTTAGATTAATATTATTAATTGTTATTATTATAGATTCCAACTTACTGAAGTAAAATAGAATATTATTGGGTGAATAAGCCCAGCACTATGACAAGAGTAGCAATAAAAGCAATGTTCTCAATCTTCTTTCCTAGATTTATGGCATTATTTTTCTTCATTTTTTTATTCCAGCAGCACATCCTTTCTGTAGCTGACACTTGCCTAGCTTCAAACACCAGGAAGTACAAATAGACTTAGACTAGTTGCAGGCCACACCTTCTTTTATTAACCATTTTTGTAAGCCATACAACAATTGTAAAGGCTAATTTTAAATTGCTCATTACTCAGCATTTCATAACAGTCCTAAAGGAAGTTTATAATACTAAGAAAACAATCACATATTGCACACAGAAGTTAAAGGTCCAAATTATCAGCAGAAATTATAAGTCAAGTTATACAGCAGAGTTCTTATTATTTGTACTTTTATTTGATTTTGATGATAACTCATCAGGAACACTTTCACAGGAAGTTACGAAAACTTTTCCACAATGCAAGAAAATTAAACACCTCTTTGTCAAATTTACTGCTTTATTTCCAGCTCTTTTAACTGAGCTCCACTTAAGTATGAAGTTCAAAATGCCCAGTGGGGTCAAACTCATTAGTATGAATACAATAGCACTCATGTAAGGGCTATAGATCTTTTCAAATGTTCCTCTGTCGCACTTTCCAGGGATGTGACCAAACGCCTCACATTCAAAATATTGCATTAAAGCTGCTTCAAACTTGTCAGATTTTGCTTCTACATTGGTTTGGTGCCCTACAATAACAACACCAAGAATTAAAAAAAGTGCAAAAACCAACAGGATTTTTTTCTCAGCAGTGCTTAGCTTATGACTTTTTTTATTCAAGAAATTTGTTTTCTATCAACAAAATTGAAATATTTATAAAATCGATAATTTAGCTTACATACATTTCTCATAGTCCAAAGAACTATAATCAGCATTATAACTCCAGCAGCAAATAGTACATCCACTGGAAGTGTCATAGAATAGAACCACATGTCACCATTGCTGATGCAAAAGCTTGTTGGGAAACGATAAATATTATATTTGAATTTGTCAACAGAAAGGCAAATGATAATAGCTGGCAATGGAAGTAGTAGAGCTTTATATAGGAAATGGATTATTTTATAATTGATAAAATAAAACTCACATAAAATGGTTACAGTTGCAAATATATACTTGTTACGTCCCAGCTTTTCAAATCTATTTGCTTGGAAGGGAAACAATACTTTGTGAAAGAATATAGCAACATGAAAGAACCACCACAGTGCCATATTTACAAAAGTATAATGAAATACAACTCCTACATAAAAATGAACTTTTATAAGTTGTTAAATTTTTACCTGAAAATTTGCAAAAAAGAGTTGGATTATTTAATGTCTCCAATAGACTAACTGAACCACAATATAATTCATGCCGATAAATAGCTGTTATGAGTACTACTATACCTATAAATGGATGTATACAATGAACATAAGATTACAATGCACTTTACCCAATACAGTCATGTCTATGACTTGAAAAAGCACCAATACAGAGGGATATGCTAGCCTATAATGATACAGTGATATAATGTTGGGACTTGTGATAGATTTTATAGTCACTAACAATATCTTATATTCCTTTACAACAACAATAATGGTAACAATGTAGAAAGTTAGGGCTATACTGATTCCAACAACTTCTGAATAGATCAGTATTCGTGTGTCTAAATGAGAGCTTTGTTCAAAACTGTCACATCTTGGCTCACAGATTAAATCTGTTTTAAAAAAATCTTCTCTGCACACTATACCATCAGTACCATTGGTATCATTCATGCCTTCAATTGGAATTGTGACAAAAGATGAGTCATTGGCAGCTATATATAAAGTATAAATTATTAGTAATAAAATTATTATCATACCATTTGGTAGTGTAGAACAATCAGGTAAGAGTGAGCCATAGCTAAAGTTGTTTGCTAGTGTCCACAGGTCTGAACAAACACCTGTACTTATGAGGAGGCAGTCTTCCTTGGTAGCCTTGTAAAATTTTCCAGTTGAGCAATCAGCAAGAGGAAAGAAATATTGACATATGAAAGCTGATGATTGTTGTTGACATTGCTTGTAAAATTCTGTAAAGATAACATTAAAATCAAAAATTTACCACCAACACCATTACCTAAATTAGAACTGAGTAAACTGATTGTCTGTTCATGTTGATTTTGTTCTTGTTGACTTACTCCAATATTCAATTCACCTTCTCCAATGGTACATTGAAACCATTGATGTAAGAAGTCTCTACAAGCAGTTCCAGTATACTCATGACATTCTGAGGCATCATTATCCTGACTCCATGATAGTCTGGTGCAGTTTTGGTTTAGTATTCCAGTAATATTGCTTTGAAATCCAGTATAATTGATGCTGGCATTGTTAAAGGTGTCCGTGCCATAACTCTTTACAAAAATTAACAAGTGTGTAATTGGCCATTCGTTTATATAGTTAATTTTAATATTTAGATCTATTGCTAAGATATTTCTTTAGAAGCAATCACCAAAATTTTACTATGCATAAATCTTACTATGCCTACTATAGATTACTCACATAATTGAGTTAACAAACCAAAAAGAACAACATGTTTGACACACTTGACTGGTTTTTCTAGGAAACAATGTAGAGTGTACTACCAATACATCCTTCATGCTCAGTGAGCCGTATGGCAACAAATTGTGGCTTGTCACTGTCATCCCAGTATGCTTGTGACTGAAGTACCTTTTAAACGCATAAGAACCAATTTATTTCAGGCAAAATATGTAACTAGAAAACATTGCTAACAATACCATATGCATTGTGGTAATTCGGAGATGTAGATTTAAGATTTATAAATTATTTTAAATAAACAGAGATGAATGTGGACACTCACGACCCAAATTAAATCTAGATCTATTTGTACCCAAAATTATATTATCTATTCGATATAAATTAATAATAATTTTATTTGCTACATCTATAAAAAATAATATTGACTTACTGAAGTATAATAGAATATTATTGGGAGAGTGAATAAGCCCAGCACTATGACAAGAGTAGCAATGAAAGCAATGTTCTCGATTTTCTTTCTTATAGCAAAACTTTTTTGTTTATTTCTTTTCCAGCAGCACATCTTTTCTATAGCTGACACTTGCCTAGCTTCACCAGGAAGTAGATATAGTCATCTATGTACATGCATGCAGGGCACGCCTTCTTTTATTAATCTATAGACTGATTTATTTAGGGTTATGTCATATTGCACAAGGACATTGTAGATTTATCAGAAAATATTTTAGTAATTGATAATTTTATTGTATAACGATTTTATGTAAGCACAAGGACATTGATGTGTATAATTAATAATATTGTGTAACTATTTTCATGTAAACGATAGTTATACAGTAATTGTGAAGGCAAAGTTTAAAAGTGCTCATTACTCAGCATTGTATTTCACTGCTAAGGAATTTTTTAATACTAAAAACAGGTATAAAGCAATCACAAATAGGCACACAGAAGTTAAAGGTCCAAATTAATAGAATAAAGTGAAGTCAAGTTATACAGCAGAGTTCTTACTAATTATACTTTTATCTGATTTTGATGACAACTCATCAGGAACACTTTCACAGGAACGATGCAAGAAACTTAAACACCTCTTTGTCAAATTTACTGCTTTATTTCCAACATTCTTAACTGAGCTCCACTTAAGTATGAAGTTCAAAATGCCCAGTGGGGTCAAACTCATTAGTATGTATGCAATAGCACTGAAGTAAGGCTTGCTGATCTTTTCAATTGTTCCTCTGTCACACTTTCCAGGGATGTGACCAAATGCCTCACATTCAAAATATTCTTGTAAAGCTGCTTCAAACTTGTCAGATGTTGCGTCTGTGCTGCTTTCGTGCCCTATAGTAAAAGCACCAAAAATAGTAAAAATTATAAAAACCAATAGGATTTTTTTCTCAGCAGTGCTTAGCTTAGTATGACTTTCTTTATTCAAGAAATTTGTTTTCTATCAACAAAATTAAAGTATTTATAAAATCAATATTTTAGTGTACATACTTTTCTCATAGTCCAAAGAACTATAATCAGTATTATAACTCCAGCAGCAAATAGTACATCCATTGGAAGTGTCATAGAATAGAACCTCATGTCACCTCTGCTGCTGCAAAGATTTGTTGGAAAATGACGGACATTATATTTGAATTTGTCAACAGTAAGGCAAATGATAACAGCTGGCAATGGCAGTAGTATAGCTTTACATAGAAAATAGATTATTTTAAAATTAATGAATGCAATAAAACTCACACAATATAGTTACAGTTGCAAATATGTACTTGTTACGTCCCAGCTTTTCAAATCTATTTGCTTGGAAGGGAAACAATACTTTGTGAAAAAATATAGCTACATGAAAAAACCACCACAGTGCCATATTTACAAAAGTATAATAAATTGTAACTCCTACATTGAAAATTAAGTTTAAAATACGTGGTTAAATTTTTACCTGAAAATTTGCAAAAAGGAGTTGGATTTTTTAATGTCTCCAATAGACTAACTGAACTGCAGTATAATCCATACCGATCAATAGCAGCTATGACTAGTACTATGACTATAAATATGGATGCATCAAATGAACATAAGATTACAATGCCATTTACCCAATACAGTGATGTCTATGACTTGAAAAAGTACCAATACAGAAGGATATGCTAGCCTATAATGATACAGTGATATAATATTGTGACTTGTGATAGATTGTATAGTCACTAACAATATCTTATATTCCTTTACAGCAACAATAATTGCAACAATGCAGAAAGTTAGAGCTATACTGGTTGCAACAAATTCCGAATAGATCAGTATTTGTGAGTCTAAACGAGAACTAGTTTGTTCAAAACTGTCACATCTTGGCTCACAGATTAAATCTATTTTAACAAAATCTTCTCTGCACACTATACCATCAGTACCATTGGTATCATTCATGTCTTCAATTGAAATTGTGACAGAAGATGAGTCGTTGGAAGCTATATAAAGTATAAATTATTAGTAATAAGATTATTATCATACCATTTGGTAGTGTAGAACAATCAGGTAAGAGTGAGCCATAGCTAAAGTTGTTTGCTAGTGTCCACAGGTCTGAACAAACACCTGTACTTATGAGGAGGCAGTCTTCCTTGGTAGCCTTGTAAGATTTTCCAGTTGAGCAATCAGCAAGTGGAAAGAAATATTGACATATGAAAGCTAATGATTGTTGTTGACATTGCTTGTAGAATTCTGTAAATTAGTATTGAAATAATAAATTTACTTATAATGCTGTGACATTACCTAAATAATTATTGAGTGATGCAATTGTTTGTTCATGTTGATTTTGTACTTGTTGACTTACTCCAATATTCAATTCACCTTCTCCAATGGTACATTGAAACCATTGATGTAAGAAGTTTCTACAAGCAGCTCCAGTATACTCATGACATTCTGAGGCATCATTATCCTGACTCCATGATAGTTTGGTGCAGTTTTGGCTTATGTCATTGATATTGCTATTAAATCCTTTGTAATAGATGCTGGCATTGTTAAAGGTATCCCTGTTATGACTCTTTACAAAAATTAACGGTTATGTAATTAACCATCTAATGGATAATTATTTAGATCTGTTACTAGATTTTTTAAGCTATTGCCAAAATTTTACTATTCATAAATTTTACTATACATAAATTTTACTGTATATCATAGATTACTTGCATGGCTCAGTTGCCAAACCAAAATAACATTATTGGCTGGCACAATTCATACATTTTACAATAGGTTTATAATGTAACTACCATAACATCCTGCATGCCATATGACAACAAATTGTGGTAATGATCAATTAGTCATTGTCATCCCAGTATGCTTGTGACTGGGAGTACCTTTGAAATGCAAGAAAACCTATTTATTTCAGGCAAATATGTAGCTAGACAGCAATTTCACTGTTAGAGAAAACATTGCTAACAGTACAAATATGTATTGTGTATTTTGGGAGTTCAAGATCTAGATCATTTTAAGATGAATGCAAACACCCATGACCCATATTAGATCCAGATCTATTTCTAC